TTCTTCTATACAAGTCCAGCTAAATTTTCTATTTAGTCAGGGGGCAAAGATGGGTTGGGGTAGATAGAAGGGCTATCAACTCTGTACTGCTGTCTGGGGAAATGTCCTCTCATTTCCTGTCGGATGGGGTCACAACAGCATACAGAAGGTGAAGTCATAACTGATCTGCATACCAGAGACAAACCTTGAAACTGGTACTTTTAGGAAGTCAGCTGTAGTTAGTTATAAAAGGTTTTGCCAACTTTATTTTAACTTCACTTGCATGACGATCTTCTCCTAAGATTATAGGTGCATTTAACGTATTTTAAATATGGTATGTACATTAAAAGCCTCCCTGGTGTAGACATCCAACAGCTCAGACTGCTGTTGGGCTTCGCTATCTTTGATGTCAGGAGCCCAGCAGACTCAGAGCGGTCACTAAATGGTGGATCTGTCCAGACCACCATTGCAGACCTGCGCTGGCTTATGGCTGACAATGGATACACCGGCTTACGAGGCCAGTGTTTTCACTGACAGCCATAAGCCAGCGTAGGTCTGAAATCAGTCTGGACAGAACCGCCACTCAGTCCATGTCCGGACTGCAATCCGGCATTTTAAGACTACTGCTATCGTGTGTCAGTTGAGTGATACCCAAGACGGGACTCGCAATGCTTCCCGCTTCAGATATCGGAAGCCAGCTGAAGTGCTGCATATAGCCCATCGAGCATCCCAAATGGGGACCGCAGTACGGACACAAACTGACAGTTCTGGCCTGACTGAGATTTGTACCTCAGCACAATTAATTTTTTTCACTGGACCTCCTTGAATTTTAATTCACTACCCCTGCTCTATAGTATTCCCTTTGTGCCAGTTACACAACTTTATGTAAGGAGATTTAACACACATAAAAACAGGCAATATCTCATACTTATCCAACAAAAAAAATTATTCAGAAAAATCTAGGTCACAAACCATTTAGTTTTAGGAAATGCCACATGCAGTGATTTACAGTTTGTAGTTTTCTGTTAGAAAAAGTTGTGTTGACATGAGTTTCTAACTTCAGAGGCCCCGAGATATTTGAGCAGGAAAGGGTGCGTGACTCGCCGATGTCTGTTCTGCTCTGTAGTGGTCATCAGTTTATTCAGGTGTGCGTTTCATCTTGTATGAAAGGGAAATCACGCAGACATGCCACATCTCAGTCTGGAGGATCTGTTGCTTTACCCCGAGTTACAAAAAGTAATTATGCCCTATATAGAACAGTATTTGGTACTCAGAATTGGAAATAAAGCCCAGGCGCAACAGATCATGTTTCCAAAGAGAAATAAACTGAACTTCAGTTCTCATGGAAATGCAATGTGGGCAAATAATTCCACCTACATTGCCTGTGCTATAGAGGACATTCCCAACAAGAATATTCATAAATCATGACCTTTCACAGATGTCCTGCAAGGGATTTGGAAAGTCTCGTCCTGCAAACACTCCAGACAGGAAATTTAGATATCTAAATTTAACATCACTGCCGGGGGGGGTTAGTCCATTCACGCTCAGACTATTGATCAGACTTTGTCTGGATGCTCAATGTCTGAGCTCAACTGCAAAAGTAATTGAGCAGTTCATGACTAGAGATTAAATGAACAACTGAAAAAGCTGCCCATGGCATTCAGATTGGAAGTGAAAGACCAAACTCCACCTGTATAGTTAAATGCACAATTTTATTGCAATTTTGGACCTGTAAAATCCTTTTCTTGGGAGTACATTTCAGGACACTAGATGGGATTCTGGAACCACAAGTTTGTTCTTAAAATAAAATCTTTTTCTCCCAAGTCCATTGAGGGACAGCTGAGAAAGTCGGCCCGCCAGTTGACTCCCGGAATGTCAACCGTTGAAATCACTGGAACCTGAAGTTCCACCCAATCCAACTTCTGTTGCTGCCGACACTCCCGGTGCCTCCCTGATAATTGGGTGCCCAATTCAGTTAGACAATGCTACAGCAATGGCATACAGACAGAAGGGTCCAGTGAAAATGACAGACACTGTCCTCAAAACAAGGACAGATTGGAAGTTTGAATTCCTCCAGACACCAACATCCCTGCACAGATGATCCAAAAGACAGACCTATCCCACAAGACTGGCATCAATCATAACAATCCTCGTGTTTTGTCTCGCGGTATGGGAAGCAATGACTTTCCTTTGTCAGCACAGGATGTCAACCACCACGACAAAAACCCTGACCAGGGCACTCAATATGAACATCTTTTCCAGTGGAAGAGGAGACTTGTCCAATGTTGTAAGAATGCTCCTCTGTAAAGTCCTGTAATGGAACTGAACAAAAATGTAGCGCTTTGAAGGTTGACACCGTCAATCCCAGTACTCTCATGCAGGATTGAAGAGACTGAACTTGATCCCGCAATGTCAATATTTTGTTCTTAGAAAGGAACACTTTTGCTGGAAGGTTAACAGAAGACCCAAATACTCCAAACGATTTGATGGAACTAGGGATGACTTCTGGATGTTCAAAATCCACCCAAAGTCCTCCAATGTCCACAGGGCCGTCTAGACATTGAGTTTTAAGTAGAAAAGACTGTTCGAGGTAAAAGATAGTTTAAGTGTCTGATAATTGGAATGCCCTTGCGATGAAAAACATCACAGAGCTGGAGCAAGAACTTTAGCAAACACCCTTGGAGCTGAAGCCAACCCGAAAAAGCCACAAACTGATAATGAAGGTCGCCAAAATGCAAATCAAAGGAAACACCGATTAGCTGAAAATACAGAAGTGTGTAGATACACAATTCTTGGTCTATGGCAACAACAAAAAAAGGGAGAATCTTCTTCCATTTATACTTTGTCAGTAGGATCCTTAAAACATAAGGGCATCATTAATAGGAAAAGCCAAAGCCTTGTTAAGACATGAAATTGGAGGATCAACTTCATGAATAGACCATTTTAACAAAATCTGGAAAAGGCTACAGAGACTAAAAAGTGTCCAAGAACCAGAAATTGCTTATCCAGAATTTCTTAGAGAACTATGGGGTCAGTGTTTTTCCCCATAGTTCTCCTTAGGGTAACGGGAGGACACAAACTAGCATTCTCCCGTTACCCTAAGCTCAGTATACCGCGAGCTACAGCTCGCGGTATACTGAGACACCGCACCTGGAGCGGATCCCGACTTAGATGACGGGATCCGCCCAGCTGCGTGAGTGACAGCTGGCTCTGCCCATCTAGAGGCAGAGCCAGCTGTACCCGCCCCCTCCCCCGTCCGTTCCGCCAGTCAGATCGGAGCGGGGAGAGGGGAATCCAGCCCCTCCCCCTGTCATGGCAGAGAGCCGTGACAGGATCAAGACGTGAGGGAACCCGGTATGTGTTCCCTCACCTCCCGATCTACTGAGCCGACCTGTGACAGTCTCATTGTCACAGGTCGGCTTAGAACTATGAGGTGAGTGGAAATCACTCATCTCATAGTTCTCCTTTAATCCTCATTTAAAAGCCTCTCAAAATAGAATTAAGCGGAAACACCTTGCAGACACTAGGCTAGATACTAAACGCAAGTTAATACATTCAAGTACCTTTACTACAAATAAAAATGTAGCTTAAGATTTGTGCATCACTACTGTAGATCCTCATCATGCTGTGTCCTTACTTATGGAGTGTAGATAAATTTTGTTCCCCATGGATGCCCTGCCGCTTTGATTGATTTGCCAGTATCCAATCACCTGAAGATATCTGCATAACCGTGGTTAAAGGATTAAACTCTCCGTGACGTGTGATCAAGAAACAGCTGCTTAGACACCACCCATGCCGACATAATAAAGGTGACCAAGCTCCCCATGTTACTATAAATGCTGGGTGTATGTTACTGGCAGTCATTAGAACTGCAAAAGATGCTTTGATGAGCAGCAAAAGGCATAATCTTTACCGAACATGTCTAGTTGAATGTGACTAACTAGATCGATAGAGACCCTGCCAGAGGGTGGCTACTTTTCTTCTCCATGGTCCCTATGGGTGCTGAAAAGTAGCCACCCTCTGTACGCTCACACTGAACTACAACTACATGTCTCCTCTGCTGACTCCTCCCTCCCATCTACATTGGGGAGGACAGTGTGAGCAGAGCCGAATATCTTTCAATGCTTGCCATCTCTTTATGGTACAGCATGTGAGCCTACACCATCTGACAGCATTTTTTCTAATAACCGGGTGAGTGTAATCTCCCGGCTCAGTGTCTCACACAGCCTGCCTGTGAAGAGGCAAGAAAGCATTGCACAGAAGCAGAGGGGGAGAGAGCCCAGCAATGAGGCACGAGCAGCCTGTCACAGAAGGAGGGAGTGATGTTTCAGTGAGTGATAGACCTGAAATTGCATGATGAAGGGAGTTCGGAATAGAGTGAACAGTAGGAGCTGTGCAGTGGATTGTGGGAAATTTAGTGCCGAGAGCAGCGCACTCATGGAAAGCTCGTCAACTGATTAAGAGTAGCTGGAAGTGAAGGAAGCACAGAGCAGCGGGCACACCCATCCTTTATTTTGTAATGAAATATAAGGCAAGACTTGATCAAAAATTTGAAATGAAAGCAGGAGCATGTTAAGGATAACAAGGAGATAACTGCAAAGTGGAAGAAAAAAAAAAGTTTGGAATTGTGTCACTTTAATAAGAACAAAGATCTTTTTAAGGTCTGCAGCTGTTTTATTTACAAGTTTACACTGAACAATGAAAGAAACACTGATGTTCAAGCCTGGTTAAGTAAATAATAAATGTAACAATATGTATAATTTGAGTGATTACAATATTAGAAACAAACTACACTGAAAAATTAATGCCTGTAAAAGTATTGGCCATAATAAGAAAATATGGATATACAAATTGAAAGTGTGTGATTGAAGTGCTGAAGAAGTCAGATTCCAGAATAATCTGAATGGAAAAAAAAAAAAAACACAAAAAAACAAAGCGGCTGTGACCATCCCTATCTGAAAATCAGTGTAACCCTTCCGATCCCAGAAGAGGACACAAGGCGCTGCTCGCATTACCACACCTCCTGGGAGAGAAATAGTTACATGATAAGCCTAGTTTTGAAGTAGAACAGGCAGTTTGCTTATTCAAGTAGAATATATTCCCAGTGTCCGCAGCTTGTGTAGTGGAATTACATTACGGAGCAGGACGACTTCCCTTGTGAACATCCACCATCAATTTTCTCCGCTTCCAAAATTATTCTTTTAAAAACATCAACAGCAGTCTGAAGGAGAAAAAATAAATATGTATATTAGTTCTACAATAAAAATGCTAATGTTTAAGAATGTTTCCATTACTCATTTGAGTAATACAACTTTGTTTATAGTTGAAGATCTGTGTGAATAAAGAGTTCCTGGGTGGGGTTAGCCAAAGACCCGAATGAAAGTCCCACGGGCAGGAGAAGAACCAGGGTAACCCCACTGTCTACAGAAACAGACCACAACCCAAAGCCTTGAATGGAATCTTCAAATCGAAATATGGAACAGCAATTGGTGTCATTTAGAAGATGCCCTTTCATTTCTGTCAAGAGCATATAGCTGCACTGTTTTCTAAAAACGGTTTGGATTATACTAGCTGTGTGCATGCTCCAGGCCCCATCTGACAACCTAGTGAAGACCCACAATGAAAATGACAGCCAGGGAATTGGAAACATGAAAATAGTAACAGCAGCAGCCATTTAGGACACATTGACTTAATGTTTTCTGGACATTCCTCTTTTAAACACATTTGTTCTGAGGGTCCCTTAGTGTTGGAACATGGAGGTTCCATCACCCATAACCCCTGCAAATAGTAGCAATTCATTCAGACAAATTAGGTCTAACCTAAAACTGTAATAATTGCAAAAGTTTTAAATGTGGTTTATAGAAGCAAAATTTTGTTTCATCTCATGTGGCTGCTTAGAAACCTAACTGCTTCGATGAGCAACAACTTTAAAATGTCCCCGCTCATAGTTACCCTCCCATAATATTTCCATCCTGCCCCCAAATATTTATTTCAAGCGTTCTATCCACGCAAATTAAATGTATTTTCACTCCTGTAGATAGTTTGGCTCTGGCTTAAATGTAAAATAATATATATGGCTGGCTGCTATAAACTGTTTCACCACCTTCGGTCCGATTTTCATGGCTCAGTGATAAGAGGCCACAATTCAGCCAATCCTATATGGACAAACCAACCTGATTCTCTTTAGCAGACGATTCCAAGAACGCAGCATGCCACGATTCTGCGACGGCTTTTCCTTCTTCATAACTGATGACCCTGCAACACAATGCAAGTTTGATGGACTTCACCAAATTAAAGCAACTGATTTGTTCGTTACATACATTTTAATGTATATAAGATCTACAGCCAAAACATAAAACCAATATATGTAAGATCACTTAAATTGAACCAGTGCTTTTGATCACACAGAACAAAGCAACCGTTTCATATTTATGTCAACCCTGGTCCCTACAGCACATAGGGAAACAAGCAACAATCCTCTTCTTCCCATATTGCATTGCCTCTGATAAGGGGGGGGGGAGG